TCTTGTCTCTTGCCACATCCACGGTCCTACTCTGGAAATGATGATGCATACAATAGACTCCGGATCAAGTGCGTTCCTCTTAGTCTTCCTACCAATATAACCGAGTTTTGAAAACAAGGTCAAACAACTTCAGTACAACGAAATGAGACCGCGGCCACACAAAAGACCATACCATCTTGGTCTTCATACCTTCGATTATAATATAAATTCTTTGCCTTTGGCGATTTAAGGGTATTCATGGGGAATTCCGACATTTGATAGTTAACTTGATACATTTCTAGACGCACTCAGGATCATTACTGAGAATTATAATTATATTATAATTAAAAAATTACTGATAGTCTCCAAAACTACTCACATCATAAGTAATGCCGTCGGATGCACAAGAAAACGCATTTTTGCTTGATCGACTATCCCATTAACTTGCCTTACTCGTCACATCGCCCTGTGTTTAACTGGCACTCGTGGTCATGTGGTGGAATGGTACAGTCGTCATGATACTCACGACCCTATATCGAATAACGTTGGGGGTGCTAATGAGAGGAGAGGTCGAAACTACAATCCACTCTGAATGAGGTAGCCCTTTAGGTGGTAGGGCTAAGCGAAATTCATTGGCGTCGTGAAGCCTACACATTTGATTGTGAGAGAATTCCATCATCAGTCCTTAAATCACCTTAGGTAGTCTAGGGTGATGAAGTTCATATTCACGAAGTACTGATAGTCTCGAACACTATTGATAGCAAAAATTAATATATGTTGGTTTGACCTTGTTTTCGCAAATCAAACATTTCCACACGGTTCGCCAGCAACGTAGATGGCGTCGTCATTGCGAGATAGCCTCCTTAACATAGAGTTACATCTTATTAAGTAACAAGTATAACTTGTGGGAAGAATGCTGGCTGACAATGAGAATGTACTAAGTCACAAGGTTTCGCTTTTGTTCCGAGCAAGTTGTGAAAAATAGGTATACTTCCACTATGCAACTGAAGGAGACTGCGATCAAACATGAGGCCACACCATTTCACAGTTATGGAGACTTTTATTATGCATAAAATGAAAGATGGAGAGGTTCACATATCGATCTCACTGGAAGATGATTGTTTACTCTCGTTGTTCTGGCACCTTTAACACGACGTTCAGGTTGGTGCAGTCTATGAGACATACCCGCTCGGACGCAAGCCCGTTATGTCATAAGTAGAATTCATTTTTGCAACAGATTCAAGTAAACATGTAAAGAAAACCATCATATTTGCCATATATCTTCATATATACTTAGAACCCAAAATCAAAATATACGGATATAGGTAGAAATTTGCTTAAAAATTGTCTTGATCCTCCCGTTTTCTACTTTTTGCCCACCTTCTTAGAAAGGAGTGGCAGCAAGGTTTGGAAATGTTAAAAAAATCCCAGCCTGCTAACCCGTTATCGAATAATTACCGCGTGAAAGTTTATTCCTTATTAAAGATATACTATTTTCATTAAATCTCGATCTAATTAATTTTCATATTTTACCGTACCTCATCTAAGCTGATAAGACTCGCGAACAAATGGTCTCCATTCTTCCACTACTTTATTTTGTATCTCTATATTATTTGCTATAATACTACTCATTTAAAGATATTTATTATGTTTAGGCTGAGGCGAGAAAATAGATGGTGCAATGTGTTGGCTTACTTGCAGAGACTTTGGTGAAGAGTCGAGAAAATCAGGCTTCAAATATGTCGAAGTAGAACGCATGCCGACCCGGCCGTTGTCCGAGAATATCCCGTCGCCAAGTTCTGGGTCCCTTTCAGCCTCTGGTAAACCTGTGCAAAGATCCGCCGTGGAATTAGAGTCAGGAGAATCCGAGTGTGAATATCGTGGAATGCGCATAGGACAAGTTGAAGTAGAACTCCTCCAAGGGAGTCAAAGCTGACTAACCGATTGCTCGGACCGTGAGTCTGTGAGTGTTTAAGGGGACAGACGGTCAGAAATAAACGCAACACACACGGAGCCAATCATTTCGCGGATTGTTTTTATTGGCTAATAGAAATGGCGGCGAAAGCGAAATTAGCCAATAGGAACAATGTCTTTATATGCTTCAACCTGTAGGTCTTGAATTGGCTCGAAAATCGTAAAAATATGTTTATTCTTCGTTCGAACATGTTTTCGCAGACCTTGTGGAGCGTACCTAGTCCTTTGTCCTTGTCATAGCATTCGTGATTTCCAGCATATGGTTACTTGATTATTGCGTAACGCAGGCTAAGGGGAGTAAACGGTCTATCTTCCACATTTTAAGGGCATTTGTAAAAGCATAATCCATAAGAGTCTTTGATGAGCGGGAGGAAATGCCCAACTCTGCTCAACTTCTGTATGGGATGATGATTAAATTTAGGCAGAATCTAATCTGTTGCCCATCTTAAGTATTAGGTTAATCTTAATAAAAATTGCAGGGGCGAACTTTTGGGTATAAAATACGTCTTATTTTTTGTTTGTAAGTAGATTTGTGAGACTACAAGTAAATCATATATATGAGGTGTATTCACTCTATTTCGTTTAAGGTGATAAGGGGACTTTGGTTGAATTTTCACACAATATTATTATTAGACCCTAAGTTTCCATTGCATTTTACATAGCATTGCTTACCCAAAAGGTATTCTCATCGAGACAGGAGTTGACTACAATTTTAACCTCGTCTAGGCCTCATCAGTACCAAACGGGACTCTAATCAGGGTCGTAGTAGTGCAGCGTATAATCTAAGCACGTAAACCTTTTTATAAAACGCAAAAGAGGTAAGGTAGTCGATTGCCATAGGAAATACTACTTTGCTTCATTGACAATCCTACCACAGAATGTGATATGGGAAAATCTGTGGCCTTCCTTGATATTCACATTTTCCCTCTGGCTCAAGGGCACTCGAGGCAATATGGCTTAGTGGTTACCTTTTAAAGATTGTAAGATGCATTGTCATGGTTAGAGTCCCTCTGGAGTCGAAAAGGTAGTCTACTCCTTACTTGATTGGAATAACTTTTGGGAAAACAAGACTATGTGAATTTCAATGGATATGCAAATAAAAGTTGGGTTTCGAGGAATCTCTTGTCTCATAATTGTTGAGCCTACTTCCATTTCAAGTAAAAGTGTTTGGAGTTTTTTTGACTCGTAAGCTTGAAGTTGATTGTGATGATGATGTTCGTCATATGACGGACGAAAGCTTAGCTCCTTTTTACCGGAATCGAAGGAGATTACTTATGAAACAGTGTCACAATGAGTGTTCCAGTAAAGCCAATCGACAGCTGGTCAAGAGGTATCCGCCGTCGTCTTCTGGTGGAATCGACCTTTGAATCTCTTCACTGAACAATTTCACTCGAAATGGAAGTAAGCTCAACACCTTCCATGGAAACGTAAAGTCTACTCATACCATTGTGGGAAAAATTAACTAACAGCCTCCCTATCAACTTAAACGAGATAGAGTGAATACGCCTCATATAAAAATATGTTTTATTTTCACTCTGATATCTATTTAAAAGGACCCACTTGCTCTTGAGACGATTCGGCTAGAGCATGAATATGGAATGTCTCATCTGTGCTTCTTGTCAAGGTCCTGGAAAGTTAATAAATCTCATAGTAAAGCTAATCGATCAGTTAACCTTGTAAACCAAGCATTGTTGAGAAAGGATGTGAAGCCGACGCTTCTCATCAACAGGGGCCCAAAAGAATAGCTCATGTGGTTGATGTTAAGACGAAGGTATATGTAACTATGACGATTAAATGGGTTTTACGAAGCTCTAGAGACAAGAGTGTTGAGGAAATTTTCATATGTTAATGAGAATACAAGATAAATGGATGCTTTAGTAGATCTCTCCGGAAGACGACGGCTGGTCCCAGTTGTTATGTAGCCGTCTGGCTTTAATACGACGTCCACGAGACACGAAGAGAAAATGAGTTTCGATGAATCCCTTAGTAGATTGTTGCTGGCATACTTTTCACTTCGTTTGAAAAGGTTAGTGTAAGGGATTCGTAAATTGACCCCATCGGACACATAAAGCTTTGGGCTTGTGGCCTTCTGTTTAGCTTGTTACCGTTGAATTGTGCGAAAACGGCCTCTATTCATCATCCTGCGACCCAGATGACTTCGTGCTGAGCTTTCGTCCGTCATCTAACGAATATTTCCGAACCAGAAACCAGTATTTACGAACAATCCTCCCAAAACACTAGACCAATAAATATGAGCATATGCCAGCATCCGTTCGCGAAAGATCCTCCTTCGATTTAGTAAAGACGGGCTGAGCATTCGTCAGTCATACCAACTGACGAACGGTGTCATAGTTGGACCTCAGTCTTGCAAAAGAGTAAAGTTTCAGCATCACTATCCGGATATATTGGGTGAAGAGATTCGAAGGTCGGTTCCACTAGAAAACGACGGCGGATTCCTCTTGATCAGCTGTCGATTGGC